CACACAGGGCCATGTAGGTTTGGATTTTTTTCCCCCCTTAATAATAAAAACCTTCATTTAAAAACTGCATTTTGTGTTTACTTGTGTTATCTTTGTCTAATATTTAAATTTGTTTGATGATCGTAAACATTTAAGTGTGACAAACATGCAAAAAAATAAGAAATCAGGAAGGGGGCAAACACTTTTTCACACGTGTATGTACACACACACACACACACACACACACACACACACACACACACACACACACACACACACACACACACACACAGTATGAAATGACCTATATTGGCATCGTTTTTTACATTTATTTCTCCAGGGAAAGTAGTTCCAACTAATTTGACATTCAAAAAGTTACATCCAAAAGAACCAGCACCAACGCACTCTTCTACAAATGCTTCCTCACAATTACAGTCCTCTGATTCCATTGAGCAGCTCCACCGGGTCACAGAGGTACAGTGCCTTGCCCAAGGACATTTGGACGGTAGTTGTGGGAGGCGATAGGCTGCTGCTGCTGCCATAATAACTCAATTTACCAAACGCCATCACCTCACAAAGACGGTTTTCTGATGATTATTAAAACAAGTGAAGACGCAAAAGAATGAGTGACAGAGAAAGCTAATCTTAAGTCTGTGCAGGTGAGCGGCTTAGCTTGGCTCAAGCCACCGCCGCCGCTCAGAACAAATCGAAGGTAAGTGGACGGGCAAAGTAAGCCTCAGAAAGTGTCCCTAAGCTCATCAAGGGAATCCAAATGCTTCTGGTTTTACATCTGTGCCGTGCTTAACCTCGCAAGATTACTCTGAGACACGAGCCTGGCAGAAGAGAAAGAAAGAGTGAGACACTGAGCAGGCACGAGAAAGATAGAGCCCATTATGAGGGCAAATATTGACACTGGCCCAACATCATGCAGAGCCATAGTGAATATAATAACGATAAATCATCCATCATACCACCGTGACACAGGCCACGGTGACATATTTTGCCATTTCTACATGGAGCAATACAGAGGTTGGAGTGAAAATCACCCAGTTTCTGTAAACAGAAGCCTACTTGTGCATAAACTTTGGGTTGAACCCTTTTGCCATTTAAGGTGCTGAACGAGGGAGTTGGAGGAGGGCAACAGGGTGGGGGAAGGCTGCGGTCACACAGTTTATTTTACTCTTCAGTGTCAAGGCCAGATACATTTTTTCCTTCACTTTGCATGCATGTGGTCAGGGGAGCGTGTCTGAGGGCAAGAGCACCAATAAATCTTCAGCACATTAAGTGAACTGTTTGGACTGTTTCATTGCAGCAGACAGGTTCGAAGGTAAGGGGCGCCAGGTTGCGATTGACAACCATTTTGAGACATTGGCAACCAATTCTTGAACTCTGGTTGCCATCAGTGGAAACCACTTTTCAACATGTAAAATAATAGGTAAAGCAAACGGCTTAATATGCACCTCAGTTTACATCATCTGTATGCGAGAGGGGATTCGGCTGTCTAAGCAGAATCAAGACAGATTGGAGGTCAACTCTAAGAGTAGAGATGATGGACGTGCTGATGTTTGTGTCACTTAAGAGACCAACAATCAAAGACTTCAATGCTGAATGGCCAATGGATCCGTCAGCACAAAAGGCCCAGAAAGCCAGAATTTGAAAGGGAGAGAACGGACGAACAAGCAACCAGCGACTTGCTGGATTCATTTTTGAGAGATCTGTGAAGAACATCACAACAGCTGCACTACTGCTATTTTGCATACCAGGAATAGGGGGGGGGGGAGACACACGTTAACCATGGGCAAACGAAGGTCGCCTGCCACTTTACGTCCCTGTCCTACTTTGTTTTGGAGTTATTTTAAGCCGTCTGTATCCCTGCAAACGCACCTATATTCCAACGCTGTGAAAAGACGTTTCAATCATTCCCACCGGCCCATGCGTGTCAAGACCAGACGATGTCGGAACAGTTTTTTTTTTTTTTACTGAAATGTCTACAGATATGCCTATTTCAATATGTGCAGGCAGCTGTCTGCACGGCAGATATACATTTACATTTTTGCGCTGGTTTATAGATTTAATCATTAGTGAGCGCGTTGTTACATTTCTTGACACAAGCTGCAATTAGGCCCCTCCCCTGGACTTCCAAAAATAAATGATGTGTGTGAAGCTATAATCTATAAACTGGTATGAATTGTTCAAGACAGGGATGTCACCTATATTTCTTAAGCATTTCCAGTTGTCCTTATTCCTTCTGAAGACATCATTCAGATCAGAAATTAAAAACCACCTTTTCACAATCAAACTTCTGTGGGCTTGAGAGGAGACACTAATCAGGGAAATATGATGCATAGTTGTGGCACTGCAGGGCAGGAATCTACACTGTGCCATAGCAGGCATCAGTATGCGGGCAGAAATCCAGCAGCGTCCCCTCATTCAGAGAGGCTCATATTTATAGTAGAGATGCTAAAACAGGATTGGCTCCTGACCAGCAATGTCCTCCATTCAGGACCCAAGAGATGCAGTGAAGTGTCAGTTTCCTCACTGCTAACCTACATTAGCCTCAAACACACACACACACACACACACACACACACACACCCACACACCCACACACACACACACACACACACACACACACACACACACACACACACCTCAAATATAAAAAGGCTGCAGCAAAGACAGAAGAAGTTTGCAATAAAACCCATGCTTGGCTTATTGGGCTTGGAACGTACGACACAACTTTTAGGCAGATCGTACTTTGGCAAAGGACAGTTGGCTTAGATAACTGTGCTGTAATGACTACTGCAGTTTGAGCATTTGCACAGCATTCCAAGTCGCTTTGTGTATATTTAAAAAAATTGAATCATCATGCAAGTATTACAATTCTCTTCCTTTCACCAAATCATCATCATGGCTTCCATTGTGTGATGTTATTGGCATGTTTTTCCATGGCAATTTATAAAGTTCATTGGATGCTAGGAGCATTATGACACGCTTTATGGCAGTTGCTGTCCACAGGGATCCTCTTCTATAAAAATCAAAAGCTACCACCAGCTTATAAACCGTCACTGTATCCACAATAATCCAATCAAATGCGACTCGTGGAACATGAGACTCACCTCACACAGCTGTCCAGCAAACTGTGGCGGGCATTGACACACAAAGCCGTCCAACACTGCGTGGCACTGGCCGCCGTTCTGGCATGGTCCGCTGTTGCACTTATTCCTCTGGATTTCACAGTGAGAGCCCACAAAACCTGGAGGACACTGGCAGTGGTGACCCCTGGGGCCCACCTAAAGAAGAAACAAAAGAACAATGAAGAGACCAATGGCAACGACAAACACAAGGCAGTGGATCATTGGCGCACAGACTGTGTGGGCATCTCCAAGCTATCTTGGCTCACGTTTGGTGGAAGACGACTGGGTAAAGTGGAATATGAAGATTCAAATGAAAACATTCATACCTTGCATGTTGCTCCATTCTGGCACTGACCATGGCAGCCGTTGACGTCTGAAGAGGAAGAAGAAGACATGAATGATTACCTTTTATTATCAAACATTATGAAGAACATGGAATATGCATCACCTTATCCACTACAGTGTGGGATGTGCACAGATTAAGTTAAAGTTTGGAAAAGAAATGACTAGTGAAGCTAATAGAGTGCCAGATAAACCTTGTATAGATTGTGACTGGTCATGCAATGGATCCTCAGCAAGGAACTGGGCATGCAAGTTCAGTCAGGATGATTCCGTTTGCCAAGACGAAAGAGGAACGGGTTACCACATGTGGGGAAAGCAGGTGACGCTAAACTACACCTGTGTTGTGCAGGAAGTGAGAGGAGGCGATTGAAAGTAGCAGAAATTTAGAAGCGACTTTTAAGGGAAAGGGGAAGAAATACTGACTGATGTCACAGTTTTGTCCGGACCATCCTCGAAAACAGTCGCAGTGATATCCGCCAATCAAATTTTTGCAAGAGTAAGTGTTCACACAGGGCTTTCCTGCACACTCATTTGCATCTGTAAAGGCAGGAAGTAGAAGCAGACCGAGTCCATCAATTGAAACAACAACCAAGAAAAGGACAAAGAGACAGAAAAGAGACCAGAAACCCAACCTGGTTATTTGGTTAAGTCATCTCAGCATCTATGTGGTAAAAAAAAAAAGATGCTTTTTGGTTGCATATTGGGAAATGTAGGATCCAGTGTTTTTGGGGCTGGACTTATACTTGGGAGTGAAAGTCAGGACACCTCGGCCTCTGTTGCTTCAATGTTGTTCATTTTCTAACACTCTGTCTGAACTTTGTCATTGCAATATTAAAAAAAAAAAAAAAAATCGCTGGACTACTGATGATTTAATGCATAACTATTAGAGACTCATAATATTTACTATAAATAAATCTATCAATTAGTTTGTGCCCATGGGGTCGTCTTCCAAGTTCTTTGTTGCATGTCGTACTCCTCTCTCCGTCTCACCCAATATTTACTGCCTTCGTCTTTGACTGACCCTGTCATTGTTTTGTTGTCATCAAGTGCCACAGAACTCCTCAGAGAAACAACAGCTGACACTTAACAGTTTTCATCTGTTCGACGAGGATTAAATTAGTGCAAACAGAACAGCTTCACTCACAAACCCTCACCAAGACATCAAGTGTTACAACAAAGAAAAGCACCACTGCTCAAATATTCAAAGGGATGGGGGGGTGGGTGGGTGGCAGTCAGCAGGGAGTCCTGCTGTGTTCACTCACACACCTGTCTTCTCTCTGAAACCCTAAACTCCACACACACATAAACGCCAGGTAAGACAGGAGGCCAATGGCTGCCTGTAAGCTGAGATCCGAGCTAGTAAGATGACACTGAACACTTGGGATATTTTTCCTACCTTCAGGGCCCCCCCCCC